CACTCCATGTTACACAGATAGGCTGAAGATCCAGGGTGGACAAATAAACTGCCGGCTCTTGTGAAGTCTGGATGAAAATCATCGATATCCTCGTATCTAATGTAACCAGAGATTGCATGTTTATTTCGACGTAATCCCTAAAATTTACCTTTGGTTCTGCCAGAGATAATGCTGCATGAGATGATGACCTGTGTATTATGACTTTAAAGAAGTAGTCCACCATTCCTTCCGACTTTTCCCTATCTTCCTTTCTCCTAGTCTAAGTAATCACGTTTAGATTCATGCATAAAAATAATTTCCTAGGTTTTAACACTGCGTTTTGAGATCATTAAACCTCAAAATTAATTCTTGACAAAAATGTAACGCAAAGGCCTTGTTTCTATCTGCATTGTACAGCCTTCCAGTCTCTGAAGTCCCTGAGCTATTTCTAAGGCTGTACAAAAATTACATTAGCCCACGTCTTGAAGTTAACAATATCATTGCACCCCGACTGCTTAGAAGAGTCGCAAATCTTTCGGAAAGAGTTCAGAGAGGGCGACAAAAGGAGTGATGGGTCTCCGGAGCAAAGAGTGATATGAACGGCTGAAGAAACTAGGTCTCTTCACACTTAGCTACCGTCAGCTAAGACAGGACTTGGTTAATGCCTATAAAATAAAAAATGACCATAGTTACCCGAGCAAAGTTGTTCTGCCATTGAGTAATTATGGGCTTCCTCGTGGAAAGCCCACAACAGAGCGAAGACTCAAGTGCACTCCTACTTTTTTTCACTTCGGGTTTGCCGTCCCTAGAACTCCTTGCCGGCATATATAGATACACCACCGCCTGTGGAGAGCTTCTAAGTAGGGCTGGGGAATCATATAATAATTAATATTTCGCATAAACGGGTAAGTATAAAGAAATGCATGCCATTTTTACAGGTACTATCAGTTATGTTATAAATTACAATCCTGAAGTATCTTAAATTATTACTTTTCAAAAGTTTATATTGTCACATTATTGCACAAGCAATCAGAACAGGTTCTTATAAATTTTAAATTGTAAATCTTTCACTAGGTTCAACATCAAAGTGCAGCGACAACCTAAGCTTCATTCCGTTTCCTGCTGATAGTTATGGTCGACAAGTGAACGGCGTATATATGAGTACGTGGTGTGCCACCACGTGATTGGAAACCCTTTCAAGAAGAGATCGTGAGAAACTGCAAAGTGGCATTTAATAAAATTATGGATAACTCATCATTGAAAGTACATCTAGAATGAACGTTGTCGGCCTAAGGATTAATTACTTCCCCATTCTGTTTTCTATATAAATGTGTTTATTAATGATATATTGCACTCACTTAATCTATTATACTTTAATGTTTCACCTTAGCACTTTAACTTTTCTAAAACAGCTTCCAATCCCTTGTAAACGTTGTACTTACCTCAATATTGGTTGGTTATCGTACGCCTACAACCACGGGATGAAAACGAAACGAAGTCAGTTTTCCCGCGCAACCTGGAGGACAACTGTACAATTCAGTAACTAAACGGCCTGGTTCAGGCAATGAGTGTAATTATATATACATATCAAATATTTAACTATTGAAACATTATTAACTTGTAGACAATTTAAGATTTGACATGATACCATACTTGATCGTACCTGTAAAAATGGCATGCATTCTCATGTAAATTTGTGTTTATATGAAAATAAAAATTATTATTATTATTAAGATATAATAATATGTTCTCATTTTGTAAATGAGCAACGCCAGTTTATGATTAGCAAGCATACTTAATAATAATGTTTTAATAAAATACATATTTTCTCCTACCTGTGTAGGACACACCAAATATACAGGCATGGATAAGTATTATTTAAATTACATAAATTTGGTTTATGATGAAATTGCATGGTTGCTGTCCATTTTGTCTTCAGTTTGTGGGAACAATAAGATAACTAGTCATTCAATGGAGTACATAAAAATATATAGAAATATTGTCTTAGCATTAACGAAAAAACCAAGTATGCTTCGGGTGGGTTAAAAATACTTGGAGAAAAATAAAGCTTGAAGTAATTCCCCAATGTAACCAAAGTGTGTATAAAACCGAATCTTATTCTTGATTTATATCCATATTCGGTAGTAATTAAAATACTTATATGGTTTTGTCAGCATTTTCATCGTAACATCACGAGTGAATTGTACTCAATGTAGAATAATATTAATGATAGTATATATTTTTTTATACATGGGTGTTTCCAAGAAAAGGAAGCTATTTATACAGATACGATCAGTTTTGGTATGAGTTACGATCACGAAGTATTATATATCAATATCTTTTTAATGATATAGAGGTATATTGCACAACTGTAATCCAGGTTGCGTCGTGGGGGAAGATAATACGTAATTCACGAAGGAATTGTAAGATATGGGACCAATAATGTTTCCAGATCATTTGTCATTGTAAATGATCAAATATCCACACACTTCACTCTCATTCAAAAAGTCAAATGGGAGCTAAAATGGTGAGAGAAAAAAAGAAGACAAGCAACAGCAACGCAAAAGAAAGCAAGAATAGTCCTTAAGGAGTGAATAATAAATATATACATATATATTCTGTCTAGTAACTATGGTTATTTTTGTTCACTAACTAACTAGTCCCGTTATGCTAACTTTTATGTTATGTGTGAACTAATATTACTGTCCTGTGTAGAAATGTCTTTCATCTAGTTCCAATAATATTAAAATTTATAATTGTAGTTTGTTGTAACTACACGTTTAATGAAATTAAAATATTTGTGTAAGGTGAAAAAGAAGGTGTAAGAGTCAGACGTAGAAGTGCATTGTCATCTTTAAGCAGTCTGATGACTGAGGAGATGATCACGCATATTAGCCGGTAGTCTATTCCAAATGACTGAAAACTTATTTGAGAAGAAGTTGTACCGCACGTAAGTCTGACAATGCTCAATAGCAGCTAGGTTGTGATGATTTCTAAGATTGTAACTGATGACAGCGGTAGTGTCAATGTAGTTAAAGATTGAACGATCAATTCATGGTTGTTTGCTCAAACCCAACTCCTCCATATTTTTCGCGGGAGTCATCGATAGTGCAGTCATTGTCTCATCGTTCGCCGTTCAGAGGAAGGATAAAAACTATCAGAAGTAATACCGTGATTTATTGTCATGACATTTATTCCTAGGCCTTTGTGTAATAACATTATTGTTGAATACATGTTGGCGTAAGAATAAGGGATTCTCGAGTCGACAATCAGTGTTCTGGTTTTTCGCGTTGGTTATTACAAATTGTTTCTGAATGTCTTCCAGGGATATCGTGAGGTCCAGCGTAGTAAGAGCTGGACACTGACAGCTTATGAGAGCTGGCTGACAAGTAAGTTTAGTTATTAGCTCGGAAAAGTGCAAGAGAAGACTAGTTAGCTTATAGTAAAAGATAAGGTTTAGCTTAAGGTGTTTTTCCAGAGTGGTCTTAATCTTAGTCTGTCGCATCACTCATAGTATTCCAGACCACTTTCTAAATCAAGAGTTCTTGAGGTAAACTGCCGTTGCAGTCCCTCTAATTTAAGCTTGTCATTTTGTCTGAGTCAGCTAAGAATAAACGGATACTATTCTAAAATAGGTCGGACACATACTTTGTATAATAAACCCTAGTTTCACTTCAAAAGAAATTGCGTGTTATGCATCCTAGCAGCCTTCGTGTTTTACGTCTGGAATAATCAGTCTTTTCAGAGAACGTTAAGTTACTAGAGTATCTGATACCGAGATCTATGACTGAGTTGAGCTTGGCTAGTTTTCGCCCATTTATTTCAAGAGTTAGATCAAGCTTACTGTTGCTGATACAAATCCAGCCGCATTTGTCAATGTTAAAATTTAGACAGGATTCAGCACACCATGTTGCGAGACTACTTAGTGCAAGACGTATTTTATTATTCACATCGCTTAATTCATGAGTGTAGCAGGAGTGAACGACTTTGAGGTCGTCAGCATATAGGAATGGCTTACCTGAGGTGAAGCAAATACGAATGCTGTTAATGTAGACTTTAAATAGAAGTGGACCTAGGACACTACCTTGCGCAACCCTACTTGTGATCTGCCTAGAATGAGGCAATACAGATACGAGTTTGGTTGTTTGTACTTTTCTGCTTCGAAATGATTCTAACCAGTTCATTCAGTAATGGATTGCGAATTCCACATGAGTACAGCTTCTCAAAGAGAATACTGTGGGATGCCATGTCAAACACTGTCGATATACCGAAGTTCACTAACTATATATATATATTTCTTCCTGTTTATGCAGGAACATACCAATTGTACAGGCATGGATAAGTTATTATATAAATTACACACAATTTAATGTATAATGAATTTACAGTTTGGTTGTTCTTTCTGACATTAGAGTCAGTAGGAACAGTCTGCTATAAAGTCTGTTTGTGTAGCACATAAAGAGATATAGAAATATTGTCTTCGCATTAACAAAAAACCCAGACATCAGATGAATGTAATACAGATATCTGGGAAAAATAAAGCTTGAAGTCAATTCTCTTATATAACTTTGTTGTGAGCAGCACCCATGGCTTAAAGATTATTGATGTATTATGTTGAGATCAGTGATATATTTATTCCATTTTTTCAGCACTCTTATCGTAGTTTCATAACAGGAAAGAAATTTGATCGTGGATACGAAAACTAAATAAGGTCATGTTGGGTTGTTTTACTGCATCAAATGGTGCCGAGGTCGATTCCAGAATCCTCCATTTGCTCCATTTGTGTCTGCATGGCGGACTGTATTCGTAAGTTGAGTAAAACGTTGAAAACTGTTTGAAAACCAGTTGCTTCTTCATTTCAGATCATGAATACTCATTTACAGCATGTTCGCCAGCGTCTTCAAATGGTAGAATTGGATCGTTCATGGAATTTGAGTGGTTATGAGATAGACGGTTTGGAATTAATCCTCATTTCAGTTTAGATGCAGGGTTGTTCGACCTCGACCAGAAGATGAATAGGAGCAGCAAAATACCAGAAAGAGAAAGTATGTGAACATGAAAAGAACATTAATACATGATTCATTTATAAATGTTTATCTTAATTATACTTAAGTAAACATTTTTCTATATTGTATCTGCGTTTTCACGTATTTATGCGAAGTCTTAGAGTTTATTTAATGTCATAATGTGTATTAATAGTCTGAGCGTTTTTATTGTTCTAATGACTGATGCGTTTTAGAAATAAGTAATGGGTTCTGGTAGGGATAGTCTTTAGAATAAAACAGTTTACATAGCAAGCGTTTGAAGGTTACAATGAGGGATAGGTCCTATTTCTAAGGGTAAACTAATCCTGTATGTTCCGTACTATGTCTTTATGCATCCATGCTGCTAGTTTATTTATAGTTTAAAGATTGCTAAGGGTGTTGAAGTGCGTCTTTTAGGTGCTGTAGTAGATTAGTGCTTGATTCGTTCTAGGAGTAAATAGTTTATTAATATAATCTGTAGAGTGAAACAGTCTGTATAGAGAGCGTTTGAAGCTTGTAACCGAAGAGCAAGTTCTGATATCTAGGGGTAGGCTATTCCATATTTTAGAATACATGACTGTGAAGAAGTTTTCACGGAGTGTTGACTTAAAAGAATGAGTTGTCACTGTGGAAGTTTGGTTACGCAGATCGTAAGAACCTTCCTGTGCGAATTGTATGTCCCTGTTACCTGAGAAAGATATTTTGTGAAGGACCTTAAAGAAGAATATTAGGTTTATAATAAGTCGCCTTGTCCAAAGTGGGTCGAGTTTTAGGATCATGCACCGTGAGATGTAGTCTTTCTTACAATCGTAGCCAAGCAGTTTTGAGGTAAAATATCGTTGGATACTTTCCATCCTTAGCTTGTCACGTGTGCGAGTGCTGCTTATAATAAATGGACAGTATTCTAGTAGTGGTCTGACACATGTTTTGTACAGAATTAGCTTGGCTTCATTGTCGTGAAAGTTCCTGAGTATGCATCCTAAGAGCATCCTCGATTTTCTAGTCTGTGATGCTACTTGCTCTGAGAATGTCAAGTCACTAGAGTACCTCAGGCCTAGGTCAACGACACTTCGGAGTCTTGTTAGGTTAGCAGATTGGAGCGTTAATTTCAGGTCGATTGAGGGTGCACCGAAGCAGATCCAGCCACATTTGTTCAGATTAAATTGGAGATTCCATAGGGACGACCAAGCAGCCATTTTATCTAATTCCTTCTGTACTACATTCTCGAAGTTCCCTAAGTCATCACGTTGGAATGTATAAGCTACTTTTAGGTCATCTGCAAAGATGAATGGTTTCCCGTGCGTGAAGCAAGCGCATATGTCATTGATGTATAGTGTAAATAGGAGGGGTCCAATGACACTACCTTGTACTACACCAGAAGTGATAGGGCTAGGTTTGGAGGTTGCAGACCCGAGTTTAACTATTTGGGACCTATTGTTAAGGAATGATTTAAGCCATCCTAATAATGGGTCACGTATTCCTAAGGAGTTCAGTTTATTTGTTAGCAGTAAATGGTCAACACGGTCAAATGCCTTAGAAATGTCAAAGTAGATGACAAGTACTAGTTGCCGTCTGTCACGACTGCTGGTTACAAAATTGAAGAAGTCTAGGTGACATGTTAAACATGATCTGGATTTCAGGAATCCATGTTGGTTCGGACTTATGATGTTGCAGCTAAGCATATGTTTGATTAGGTTATTTTTGACTAGTCTCTCCATGATTCTAGATGCTATAGGTGTGATATTGATTGGCCGGTAGTTACTGACTTCAGTTTTCGAGCCAGATTTGTGTTTAGGCATAATGAATGTAGTCTTCCATATGTCAGGGTAAGTTTGGGTTTCTAGGGACATTGTGAATATTTTAAGCAGTAGTAGAGGAATGTCAGGGCCACCATATTTATAGAAGTAAGATGATATACCGTCGGTACCGAAACCTTTTGAACTTTTGAGGGTTCTTATAGTTTGGTTAATGTCAGCGTAAGTGAATTGAACAGTGCTAATTTGGTTTGGTGTCAGTGGAGTTGGTGCCATTTTAGTAATAGGGTGTATATCGAGTAGCTGGACTGAGGGCTTAAGGTAGTTACCTGCAAACGTTTTGTTGAATAGTTCACATATGTCTGCAGAGTTAGTGCATAGCCTGCCTTTGTCTATGAGGAGAGGAATGCTGTGATTTTTGCGATTCATTCGCTTCCTTAAGATTTCTGTGAGTGCATACACTCTAGCAGGACTGGCTACTGCGATGCGTTCTTCCTTTCTCATACGGAAATCTTGAGCTTGTGTGATGGAGCTAAGGGTTTTAAGTATTAGACCTAGAGTGCCAAAGTCGTGGTGTTTGAAGTAACTTGTTGAGAGTTTCTTCAGTTTCTTACGATCCTTTGGTTTTATGAATGACTTTCTGTGTGGGGAAACCTTTAGTGTTTGGAGTGGAATGACAGCATCTAAGCATATGTTTGAGTTATGGTAGAAGATGGTTAGGGCTCTCGATAGGTCATCAGTAGTGAAGTATTCATCCCATTTGGAGGATCTTAGCATCGATTCAACTAAGGCCCAGTTTGCCTTACTATAGTTCCTATATATTACTTGTTGTGAAGTGGAGGTATGAGATGCATTGCTACTCAGCGGAATTGGCAGTGCACACATTACTGTTTTGTGGTCGCTCCCTGGGAACTCAGAACCTACTAGCGTTGAAAGGGGGCTTATATTGTGGCAGAAGATTAAGTCTAGTACGTTGTTACCTCTTGTGGGAGTAGTGACAGTTTGTTTCCAGCCAAGTATATCCAGTGTGTCTAAGAACTTATCAAATTTAGTTGGACCTGTGGGTATATCCCAGTTGATTTCAGGTAAGTTAAAGTCCCCACATAGGATCTTATGATCGTATTGTAAGTCGGTTAATTGCTCCAGAGTATTAATGAGTTGGGTCTCGTAATTACTAAAGGTGCCAGGTGCTCTGTAGGAGCATCCAATTAGTGCTGTTACGTTATTTAAGTGTACATTAACCCATAGAGTCTCAGGCATGTTAAGTGTACTACTTTCTAGCTGTGATACAGTAAGTTCATTCAAGAAGTACATGAGACAACCCCCTCCCTTACCACCTTCCCTGTCACACCGAAAGTGTGTGTAGTTATCTAAGCTTATTTCATCATCCAGGATGTCCGAATGACACCAAGATTCAGTGATGACAATTACAGGGGGTTTGTATATTACTGTGAGTGCTCTGAGCATCGGCAATTTATTTAGAACAGATCTAGCATTTATGAGGATTACGTAAAGATGAGAGTTGAAGTAGCATTTGAAGTATTTAAGTTCGTTAGTCAGCCCCGAATATGGTTCAGCACCCAGTAGTTCTGCTGGACATGACGATCCTATGTTAAGAGGAGTTCCAGCATCATGCTCACCTATGTCTATCGAGTTGTTGTGTGCTGTTTTCGGTGGAGAATTAGGAGTTGGAGTACTGGATTTGCTATAGACTAAGGAACTTTTATTTTTAGTTAGGTTACAGAAGTGGGTAGGGTTCTTTATTTGGCCTATACTTGTGCAAGTGTCAAGTGTGTCCAATGGATACGGGTGCACTAGACCGTTCCTGTTTTCATGCAAGGAGGGAGCCAGCACTAGTGGTTTAGGAGTGTTAACATCCCTACCAGCTGTTTTTTCAACGCTGACAGGGACGCGGGGGATAAAAAATGATTGGATCCTTGTGATGACCATGGCTTATTATTCCACCTATTGTTTGATGCTAGTTGTGTCCTTGTGTGGGTTTCGTGTGTACTGCATTTTGGGTTAGTTCCCAGCAGACTTGTACCATATATCCGGTCGAAATTTGTTTGTGTGCCATACTCTGAAGACCCTGAGTTGTTGGTAGCCGAGTTCTGACTATTACCACTTGTACTATTTAGGGTGACATCGTTGTGACATTGGATATTAGTGTGTGCCACGGTGCGATTTAGCACGTTGTGAGTGCTAATACTATTAACCGTGGGGAGTGTGGGCTTATTTAAGCTGCCACTGTTTTTGTTGGTATGATTTAGGGGCATATTTTCCTTATCTTTACCAATGGAATTATAGCTAGGAGAGGACAAAGTCGAGTTTCGGGGGGTTTTAACTTTTTTTCTGGGGTTATTTAGTGGCATTTTAGATTCTGCGGTGATGGGTGGTATGGTTTTATTATTTATTTGGTTACAGTCTAGTGGCCTTTCGGCTGGTGTTGCACTCTGATGGGACATTTCTGTGTGTTTTGAGAGGGGTGATGCGGTGGGGTCTACTGTATCTTTCACAGGGTTGGGGATAATGGCTTGCTGCAATGTCCTATTACCTATTTCACAATTAGTCTTAGTGAGATAGTTGTGTGCGCGCCTTTCTATAACTGTTTTGTCCACCCCGACCTTTATATGTTTGTAGTTTCTGGCTTGCGATAGGGTGTGTTGGGAGTGAATGAATTTTCTGGTCTCTGCCGGTGTTTCGAACTGAAATCGAATAGGACAACACTTTTCATGTTGACTCTTCTTCAGCCTGTAGCACTTAGTCTTGGAGTTAGGCATTTTCGCTTCACTAAGTAAGATGCGCTGTACCTTTTTTAGTGCCTCATTGTCCGGAACGTTGTAGACAATAGCACTCAGTTTTGCGTCGAGTCGTTTTGTTACTTCTGTGGTAACAAAGTTAATGAGGTTATCTACCTTAGTTACCGATTCTGTGTCAAGCTTGTTAAGGTTTACCGTTTTCATGAGGATAGTTAGAGGTGTCAGTTCACAGACCTGCGATCTGATATCGCTGATCTGATCTGATAATTTGGATATCTCGGTATTGGTTTCGATGTTTCCAGCATTTACTGACTTGCTGTTTTTTATTTCCCTTAACTCAGCCTTAAGTTCTCCTATAGACAACTTTAGAAGTTCTATTTCTGAAGATAGTACTGAAAAAGAGCTTGATGGCTGGAGTTTCTCCATAAGCACATAAGGTGAAGGGAGGAGTTCTGTATGAGCAGAGGGTACCGAATTTTTAGGAGTAGTGCTAATACTGGCTGTCAGTACAGTTTTATTTTCAGTTTCAGCTCGACGCTTACGGCATACACGTGAGTTATGTGACTCACTATAGCCGTTTGTTGGGGGTGTGTTGCTTGATGTAGCAATCAAGGACGTTAAATTAGACACCAGTTTTACAGGGGATTGGGTTCGTTGCTTTTTACTTTGATTAACCATAACTATTAGAAATAAGAGTTAGTGGTTACAAGTATGGAAGTGGTATAGTACTTGTGCAAGTACTACAACAAGATAAATTTTATGTAACGAATCACGTAAAAATGTAACGCAAACGTTGAACGTACCGCGACAACCTAAGCTTCATTCCGTTTCCTGCTGATAGTTATGGTCGACAAGTGAACGGCGTATATATGAGTACGTGGTGTGCCACCACGTGATTGGAAACCCTTTCAAGAAGAGATCGTGAGAAACTGCAAAGTGGCATTTAATAAAATTATGGATAACTCATCATTGAAAGTACATCTAGAATGAACGTTGTCGGCCTAAGGATTAATTACTTCCCCATTCTGTTTTCTATATAAATGTGTTTATTAATGATATATTGCACTCACTTAATCTATTATACTTTAATGTTTCACCTTAGCACTTTAACTTTTCTAAAACAGCTTCCAATCCCTTGTAAACGTTGTACTTACCTCAATATTGGTTGGTTATCGTACGCCTACAACCACGGGATGAAAACGAAACGAAGTCAGTTTTCCCGCGCAACCTGGAGGACAACTGTACAATTCAGTAACTAAACGGCCTGGTTCAGGCAATGAGTGTAATTATATATACATATCAAATATTTAACTATTGAAACATTATTAACTTGTAGACAATTTAAGATTTGACATGATACCATACTTGATCGTACCTGTAAAAATGGCATGCATTCTCATGTAAATTTGTGTTTATATGAAAATAAAAATTATTATTATTATTAAGATATAATAATATGTTCTCATTTTGTAAATGAGCGACGCCAGTTTATGATTAGCAAGCATACTTAATAATAATGTTTTAATAAAATACATATTTTCTCCTACCTGTGTAGGACACACCAAATATACAGGCATGGATAAGTATTATTTAAATTACATAAATTTGGTTTATGATGAAATTGCATGGTTGCTGTCCATTTTGTCTTCAGTTTGTGGGAACAATAAGATAACTAGTCATTCAATGGAGTACATAAAAATATATAGAAATATTGTCTTAGCATTAACGAAAAAACCAAGTATGCTTCGGGTGGGTTAAAAATACTTGGAGAAAAATAAAGCTTGAAGTAATTCCCCAATGTAACCAAAGTGTGTATAAAACCGAATCTTATTCTTGATTTATATCCATATTCGGTAGTAATTAAAATACTTATATGGTTTTGTCAGCATTTTCATCGTAACATCACGAGTGAATTGTACTCAATGTAGAATAATATTAATGATAGTATATATTTTTTTATACATGGGTGTTTCCAAGAAAAGGAAGCTATTTATACAGATACGATCAGTTTT